AGCAGTGCTGACCATCCCCAGCTGACCACCAGTGCTGGGCAGTGAGGACACAGCTCCCTTCTTCCTGCTCGACGTCAGCTGCAGCAGGTGAGACCTCTCCCAGCCCACCTGGAGATGGCCAGTGCCTGACTGCTGCTCCAGGGAAAGGCTCCTGGCTCTCTGTACGCTCTGTTCCACCTCCAAAGCTGGGGCAGGGTCTTGGTGAAGCAGTGGGCAGCGTCCCCCAACACCAACCCTCCTTCTGGGGGCACCTGCAGAGGAGCTGGGGCTCATCCCATCCTGCCAGGAGCAAAGCTGATCCTGATGGATCCCTGTGGTGGTTGAACCTGGCTGAGGCCCCTGAGCTGAGCCTGCTTTGATCTTTTCTTTTCCTTATCCTTTTGTGTGTGTCCAGGTGGGAAGATACCAAAAGATTTCTAGAGCCAGAAGGTCCATAGTTCAGGTGAACAGATGGTATTAATGCCAAAAAAAAAGAAATAATAATGAGAACAACACAACCAAACACCCCTCTTCTCCCTGCTCGTTCTTTCTGGGGTGGTGATGTGGGTACCCAGTGCTGGGCTCCTGCTGGCAGGCAGTGTGGCATCCCCACTGCCCTGTGCTGGCTTTGGGGAGCAGCACCTTCCCTGGCAGGGCCAGGCTGGCACTGGCTGTCCTGGCACACAGCAGGGTCTTGAGGGACTTGCTGTGATGGATGTGGGACTGATGTCATTTTTGAGCCCAGCTCCAGCCTCTCCCAAAGTGACCCGAGGGCTGTTCCCTCCCTCCGTGTGCCCCGGGAGGAGACACTGCTGGAGGGGCTGTGTCTCTGCCCCAGCACGTGGAGCTGATGCTCCTGGAGCTGTGGTTTGGGTGGGGAATGCAGCCCACAGCTGTGGGCTGTGGGTGTGCTGCTCTGTCCCCTGTCACCTCCCCGGGGGCTCCTGGTGCTGGGGACACCTGTACCATCATCCTTTGTGCTGCCTGGGGCATCCTGCAGTGGGTGCAGGGATGGGGGTCCCTGGCTCCCCCTCTAGCTGGGGTGGACTGAACAGAACTCCCAGCACAGTTCCCCTGTGCCAGCCCAGCACCGTTGGGGGTGGCACAGCCCCGAGGGGCTGTTATTGGGGGTCCCTGGCATCCCCCGGCGGGGGCTGCAGAGGAATCCTTTCCCTCGCCTGTCCCGGGATGTTCCCAGTCCCGGGATGTTCCCAGTCCCGGGATGTTCCCAGTCCCGGGATGTTACTGGTCCCGGGATGTTCCCGGTCCCGGGATGTTCCCGGTCCC